ATGGAGGTGGTGATGGTGGAGGTGATGGAGGTGGTGATGGTGGAGGAGGTGATGGAGGTGGTGATGGTGGAGGTGATGGAGGTGGTGATGGTGGAGGAGGTGATGGAGGTAGTGATGGTGGAGGTGATGGAGGTGGTGATGGTGGAGGAGGTGATGGAGATGGTGATGGTGGAGGTGATGGAGGTGGTAATGGTGGAGGAGGTGATGGAGGTGATGGTGGAGGAGGTGATGGAGGTGGTGATGGTGGAGGAGGTGATGGAGGTGGTGATGGTGGAGGAAGTGATGGAGGTGGTGATGGTGGAGGTGATGGAGGTGGTGATGGTGGAAGAGGTGATGGAGGTGGTGATGGTGGAGGTGATGGAGGTGGTGATGGAGGAGGAGGTGATGGAGGTGGTGATGGTGGAGGTGATGGAGGTGGTGATGGTGGAGGAGGTGATGGAGGTGGTGATGGTGGAGGAGGTGATGGAGGTGGTGATGGTGGAGGTGATGGAGGTGGTAATGGTGGAGGTGATGGAGGTGGTGATGGTGGAGGAGGTGATGGAGGTGGTGATGGTGGAGGTGATGGAGGTGGTGATGGTGGAGGTGATGGAGGTGGTGATGGTGGAGGAGGTGATGGAGGTGGTGATGGTGGAGGTGATGGAGGCGGTGATGGTGGAGGAGGTGATGGAGGTGGTGATGGTGGAGGAGGTGATGGAGGTGGTTATGGTGGAGGTGATGGAGGTGAGGTGGTGATGGTGGAGGAGGTGATGGAGGTGGTGATGGTGGAGGAGGTGATGGGGGTGGCGGTGGAGGCGGTGGTGGTGGTGATGGTGGAGGTGATGGAGGTGGTGATGGTGGAGGAGGTGATGGAGGTGGTGATGGTGGAGGAGGTGATGGAGGTGGTGATGGTGGAGGTGATGGAGGTGGTGATGGTGGAGGAGGTGATGGAGGTGGTGATGGTGGAGGAGGTGATGGAGGTGGTTATGGTGGAGGTGATGGAGGTGAGGTGGTGATGGTGGAGGAGGTGATGGAGGTGGTGATGGTGGAGGAGGTGATGGAGGTGGTGATGGTGGAGGTGATGGAGGTGGTGATGGTGGTGGAGGTGATGGAGGTGGTTATGGTGGAGGTGATGGAGGTGAGGTGGTGATGGTGGAGGAGGTGATGGAGGTGGTGATGGTGGAGGAGGTGATGGAGATGGTGATGGTGGAGGTGATGGGGGTGGCGGTGGAGGCGGTGGTGGTGGTAGAGATGACGATAGTGGTTTAGAGCTAGGACCTCATTAGGTAGCTTTGGCCTAGAACTCACTATGTAGACCAGGCTGGCCTCGAACTCACAGAGATCTGCCTGACTCTGGCTCCTGAGTGCTGGGTTTAAGTATGGGCCACCATGCACTGATAATTTCTGTTAAAACATGGACAAGTATTGAATTCTGTCAACGCTTCCTTCAGGATTATGTAGTTTTGCTTCCTTCTTTACCCTGAATCTGTGTCATTGCGATAGCTCCTAGTTTGTAATGCTGTATAATTCTTTTTGAATGCTTTTCTGGGTCTTATAATGTAATATTCTGTTAAGGGTTTTGCATGTATTCCTGAAAATGCTACCCACAGTTTATCTTTCATTTCCTCCCTCCATCCCTCCCTCCCTCTCTTCCTTTAGGTCTTCCTGCTCTTTCCTTATACTGCTTCTTTGTGTATTGATTTGGTACTGGGGTAATTCTAACATGAAGACATTCTTGAATAGGGAGGCTCCCCTTCTGTTTTCTGATCATGTGGAAATGGCATTGGTTCTACCTCAACCATTTGTTGGAATTTCCTAGTGAATCTCTGGAAAGCATTCTTTTTGGAGAATGTATTAGTTACTTTTGTGTCACTGGGATAAAAATACCCAAGTTATAGAAAGAGGGAACATTTACTTTGGCTTGTGGCCATGGAGAATCGCAGTTCATCATGGTGAAGCAGGCAAGGCAGGGCGGCTCCATCTGCGGTGGTGGGAATGGGTGGCTAGACCTATCCAGCTGGCAGCAGATCGGGGGACAGAGAGAGCAGTGCAAAGCCAGGTGTTGGTACTTCACTGTGATGCCCCTACTCATCTACTTCTGCCTCCGGGACCCCACTCCCTAAAGGTCCCACAGCCTTCAAAGTAGTGTCTCTGATTCCACTTACCAGCCTGTCTGCTGGATTTTAGACTCAAATGCAAGCCATAACATGGAGTTTTAAAATTACAAATTAGATTAAGATTTATGTTACCTTTTTTCCTTGCTGTCTTGGGGTCAAGACTAAGATTTTCCTGCTTTCTAAGGAGGCACCTGGAACTGTTAATCATATTGACTGTGTTCTCAAGCTTAATATATTGTTTTCTATTTTGTTTAATTTTGGTACTTATCTCCCTTACATTTTTTTGACCAATGGATTATTTAAGAATGTACTGGATAATTTTCCATTGGTTACACATTTTCTTATTATTTTTCCATCATTGTCATTGGCTTTTAGGTTGAATCCCTGTAATTATAGAGCTCATGCTGTTTGATGTTCATTTTTGTATGTTTGCTGGAGGTTGTTTTGTAGCCCAGGATACGGTCTATTTGGGGAGATGCTTTTTGGGCACATCAAAAGTGATGTAGTCACTGATGCTGGTTGGTCTGCTCTATTAATGTCAGTTTAAACCTGTTGGTTGAAGATTTTAGATTTTCTGTGCTTGCAGCTTTCTGATTGACTCTCCTGTTAATTGTCCAGTGAGGGTTGAATGTCTTTACTATCACTGAACATGGGCTATTTCAATTGTACCGATTTTATTCTTATGTATTTTGAAACTCAGTTATTGTCAGTGTGTGTTTTCATTTTCAGATTCTGTATGGTATGGTTGTTGCTTGACCATTTTATCAATATTTAATGTTCCTCTTTGGTAATTTTCTTTGTTCTATAGTCTATTCATCTGATATTTCTTTGAGTTAATGTAATCATGGTCTATGTTTTCACACTTTTAATTTAAAATTGCCTCTACCTAAAGTCACCTTCTCATAAATAATAAAACATTTTCAAAAATGCACTCTGGCATTTCTTTATTAATGCATTTATTCATTGAGAGGCTGATGTTGCAATTTCACTTATGTTGCTGTGATACAATACTCTGACAAAAAGCATCATAGGGAAGAAAGGGTTCCAGATCACTATCCATGAAAGCAGGGAAGTCCAGCTGAACTTAAAGCATCCAGTTCCATCACAACCACAGCCAAGAATGGAGAGAATGGATACACTCACACTCACTTGATCAGCTCAGTTTATCTTACACAGGGCCCAGCCCAGCCCATGAAATAGTGAAGTCTATATCAGGATGGAACTTTCCAGAGCAACTAACCCAATTTAGAAAATCCCTCACCGGCACTCCCACAGGTCTACTGGATCTGGGTAATCCTTCCTCCTTGAAACCTTCTTTCCAGGACATTCTAGATTGTAACAGTTCAACAATTAAAACTACTTCTGATGACTATGGTCAGGGTGGCAGTGAGCCTCCACTGGGTGCCAGGGACAACTACCAAAGGGATGAAAGTTCCCAACTATCCACTCAGCTTTTTCAGGCAGCAGAAGGTAGAGGGAGTCACCACAATGCAACAGTGGACATTTCTATTCTGAACTTGACCCTTGCTGGTCTTTTCCACCCTCTGCAGGGCTTTTATCCACAGGTCCTGTGTCTGTGCAGTTAGAGGGAGAGTTGGATGAGTGTGCTCACTCCATTTTACCAAGAGCTGTGACCTGCAATCCATTTTCTTACTAAGATAGTGCACCATAGAAAGAAACATTACTAAATAAAGTGCTATTTCTCCAATAAACTCCCTCACCTCTTTATGATATAGTTTGCATACAAAGTACTACCAACACTTACTTGGAGCTTTTGAGTGCATGTGCATAAATTTGAAGTTTGTATTTTCTACCCTTTAATGATCTGCTCAGGTTGTTTTTTCTTTTTTTATTATTTTAATTTTAAATAGCTTGTTTTACATGTCAATCCCAATTCCCTCTCCCTCCTTTCCTCCCACACCCCCCCCACCATCCCCACTTCCTTCCACATAGGGGATATCTAGAGTCTGTCATTTCACTCAGGGTAGAGTCCAGGCACTCCCCTAAGAGTCCAGGCTGAGAGAGCATCCCTCTTTGTGTTATGGACACATGATGTCTGTTTGTATTCCAGGGATAAACACTGATCCACTGCTCAGGGCCCCATAGGTTGCCCAGGCCTCCTCACTTACTCTCACATTCGGGGGTCTAGATCAGTCCCATGCTGGCCTCCCAGCTGTCAGTCTGGGGTCCAAAAGCTCTCCCCTGTTCAGATCAGCTGTCTCTGCTGGTTTTGCCAGCCCATTCTTTGCCAATGTGCTCATCGCTCCTCTCTCTCTGCCACTGGGTTCCTTGGGTTCAGTTCAGTGTTTAACTGTGGGTGTTTGCCTCTGCTTCCATCAGTCCCTGGATGAAGGCTTTAGGATGGTTATAGACATCAAGTTCACTATCAGGAATGGGCATTTGAGGTGGTCTCTCCACTATTGCTTAACTTGCCAATTGGTGTCATCCTTTTAGATCTCTAGAGGTCACACTGGTGCCTGATCTGTCTTCTAACCTATGATTCCCTCTTCCCCCATTCTACCCCCCCCCCACTCAACCTTCCTGTTCCCCCATGACCTACTCTCTCTTCCTCTCCTCCCCCTCTCTTCTTCCCAGGTTGTTTTTTCTAAAGAGCTATTCCGACCCATTGAAACAAGTTAGTGAGTATTCCTTCCTGTCCTCCTGTATACAGTGGTTATCTAACTTGTCGTTATTTGATAATGAATCCAGAAGAATATAAAAATTGCCATTTAAATATAGAATTAATAATTGAGTTTAGCTGTTTTACATGTATACAATAAATATATGAATAAAACATAAAATTAACATGATCATAACAGGTTTTCCAGATAGGTAACCTATGTTAATAACTGATTGGCACATACACTGTCAACAACCAGTCAGCAAATACACTTTGGAAATGTCCAATGATATTAATCATTTTATTGTAATGATTGGGATGTTACATGTCTCCCCAGTATCCCATCTGTTGAGGGCTTATTCTCCAGTGCAGCAGTGTTGAAAGGTAACACTACTGGGTCCAGGGGGCTCTGACCTCACCAATTAATCAATCTATTGGTAGGTTCATAAACATACAGTGTTACAGAAGAAGTGCTGGAAACATTAGACTATGAGGCCAAATTGGAAGAAGTGGGTCACTGAAGCATGCCCTGGAAAGATAAACCTCACCACCAGCCTCTTCTTCCCTCTCTGAGCTTCCGTTCTGGCATGAAGTCTGCTCCACCATGTGGGCTCTGCCAGGACAGTTTTCCTTGCCTTGTACCCAAAGCAAGGATGCAACCTAGCTACAGGCTGAAAACTCTTAGAACTATGAACCAAATGATCCTTTCCTCTATTAGAGTTGATTTAGTTTATTTTAATATTTTATTTATCCTTATTTTGTGAGTATGAGTGTTTGCCTGTTTATAGGCATGTACACCCTCATGCATGCAATACTTTAAGAGGCAAAGAGGGCATCAGATTATTTGGAGCTGGAGTTGCTACAGGTGCATCCCATGTGGGTGCTGAGAACCCAACTCTGGTCCTCTGCAAAAGCAGCAAGCATTCTTAACTGCTGAGCCATCTCTCCAGCCCCAGATTTTGCCAAATTTGTTTGTTACACTAACAGAAAAATAATACAAATGATTAAACAGGATTCTTAAAATGTGCAATTCATCCATGCAAAAACATGTGCATTATTGAAATAAGTTTTTAAAAAAACTTTGAAGATGTTGAGACATAAAATGACCACATGTCAGAACACATGTTGTACATGTTCTCTGTATCACTAATAGGTCTACAGATTTAATTTCCAGTCAAAACTCCAAATGTACTTTTGTGGAAATGAATAATCCTTCTTAAATACTATGCAAAACATGTAAAGAAAAGTTACACAATTAGAAAAGAAATAATGAAGGGGAACATGCTACTAAATACCAAGACATTATAAGACTGCATCTAATTAGGGCAAGCATACCCACAAACTGGAATATAATAGACAAATATACATGTATGAACACTTCATGTGTAACACAGACAGCAGTGGAGTCTTTAAGTACATGGCTGTCTGAGTCCACTTTGTAATATTGTAACAAAATTCATTAGGCTGATTAAGTTATAAAGACGTAAATCTTTCCTTACAGTTCTGGATGTTAGGAAGTTCAGTGCCAAGGTACCAACATCTGATGTGGACTTCCTTGCTGTGTCACAGCAAAAGGTGTAAATTCAAGAAAACATGCATATAGGAGAGAGAAGCAAGAAGGTGCCTGCATGGCTTCCATTATGTGGTGGTTAGCTCTCACATAAATGCAACACCATCTAGAGTCACCTGAAAAGGGAGTCTCAGTGAGAGACTCTAGTCTAGATAATGTTTGCCTGTAAGCATGTACAACAGGGGTTATCTTTAGTATATTAATTGAAATGAGAAGACCAGCCCACCGTGGGTGGCACCATTCCATAGACAGGAGGTTCTGAACTCTGTAAGAGTTGAGAAAGCAGGCAAGCTGAGCACCAACATGCATTCATCCAGTCATAGCTCTCTGCTCCAGATTATAGATGTGACATGACATGACCAAGTTCTTCAAGCTTCTGCCACTGTGCCTTCTCCCTAGTGCAAAATGTAACCTGGAACTGTGAACCAAACTACACCCTTCTTCCCATAAGTTGCTTTTGCCATGGTATTTCAGCAAAATTAACAATCCAGTTCCATGATAGTAGGTGCAGTTTTTCAGTGATATTAATCTACATATAAGAGCAAAACTCTCCTAACCTAGATCAAGCTGGGAGCATATGAGCTGTGGAGAAAATATCAAGCCACAACAACAGCATCCTATTCATTTAATATTCTTGGGAAAATGAATGAAACCTTTTTGAGACATTGGGTAATAGGGACAGGAATTCTCAACTAGATACCGAAGTACAAAACTCATAACAAATTTGGCAACAAACAGAAAAGTGCTCCTAATTATGCAAGGACCAAAAGAATTAATTCAAAATCAAGCACACTGTGAATCTGAGGTGCTTTGCGGTTCTTGATGGAGCTGCATTTGGAAAACTAACAGCAGCTTTGGCTCTGAACATGCATCAAGTGCACTCAGCATTGCACATGCCCTCACACCATGCAAAGCCAAGAAATGGTGTCTGAAGCACCCTTGCTCAAATTAAGACTAATGCTAAGAGTTGCAGTTTTTTTACAGAAAGTTGTCCATCCATCCACATACTACTGTTTAATTACAGAAAACAAAGGTTTTTTTCCTACCATCATCCCTCAGCACATCAGTACCATGGTATCTTTGGACTGGGTTAGGGTTAGACAGATAAGCACCTCCTGTTCATTAGCATGCAGACTGTTTTCCTCTTTAGTGAATGGTAAGATTATTTGTAGATCAAATGATTGTATTCAAGTAAATTACTTATGATTTGTTATCAATAAATGCTTGGTTCCTATACCTACTTTTATACACATAGGGCCACATATAGTTTTTCCAGGGAGGGTTAGAGAGGTGTCTCAAAGGTTAAGAGCACTGGTTGCTCTTGCAGAGGACCTGGGTTCATTTTTAGCACCCCCATGACAGTTCACAACTGTATCTCCTTCAAGTTCCAGGGGCTATGTCATCTTCTGCAGGCCTCTGTGGTCACTGTGCACACACATGGTGCATAGATATACATGTAGGAAAAGCACACATATACCTTAAATAGATAATAAAGTTTTAAAAGGCTTTTCAGGTAAAAAGAGGTTGTACCTGGATAAAGCTTAAGAGTCCCTGCTGGAGAGCACTATAAATTCTAAGTTGACAAATGATGCAAAAATCTCATGAGGAAAATGAGCACACGATATAGACACTGCCACCCAACTCAGTGGTTGCCAACTGAGTACCAAAGTTACATAGAATGGTAAAGAAAATTCCAAGGGGACATTCAAGGTCATGACATTACCTCGATCCCATCAGACTAACCAGAAATGGGAAACATTCAAGAACAAGAGAGATCCCTCATGCTCAGAAGAAACCCTTCTCATCTTGACAGTTGAGCACTAGGAAGAATGAACTATGGCAGCATTTTCGTTTTCCCAAGTGCTTCCAAGTTTTAGTTCCTAACAATTTCACTGGCACTGAAGATTACTTAACACTTAGTGTGAGTTAACAGAAAGGGGCAGAGATGGGAGGCAGCAGAGATGGTGGAAGGAATGCCCAGTGCCTAGGATGGGGTAGAGAGCATGTCAGATTCCTCCAAGGCATTTTATACAGCACAGCCCTGGATATTCATTATACTCCCACCCCAAAGAAAAGGCATAAAAATTAAACCAAGCTACCTCCAAGGAATAATTAGAATGAAAAGTCGATGAGGAGAAAATGGCTCATATTCTCTTCATTGATTTCCTATGCACGAAGTCAAACTTGACTGCTGGTGGGAAGTCAGTTTGACCACTTCTCATTTCTTTCTGCGCTGTTGGCTTTCCTTCCAGGGCCTTTCATGCTGGAGTCCTGCTCGCCTCTAATCATGGCTGTCAGCTACTGAACGAGTTTGACACCCTGACTCCAGAAATGAGGGAACTCACCCCCATGCATATGCAGCCCCTTCCTTCATTAAGGTTGATTGACATAACAGACCAGGTGCATAGCCAGAATTGTATAAGAAGAACAAATAGCTTTGTGTAGATTTTAGTGGAAATCTCCTTGATCAGAAACACAGGGAAGGAGGAGTCAGAGTCAAGAATTTATATAATTCAACCAGAGTTGTTGTAAAGTCCCACATTCTTATTCCTGCAAAACAATACAGTCAGTTGAGACAATGCAAAACAATACAGTCAATCAGTTGAGACAATGCACACACACACACACACACACACACACCTCATATTCACTCTTCTACTATTTGATAAGTTTTAACTGTAGACATGACACAATGTAGAATCACTGGGGAGGAGTCTCAGTGAGGGATTGTCTAGATCAGGTTGGTTGGTGGACATGTCTATGGAGATTATCCTATGGTAACTGATGTGGGAAGACCCAGCCTAAAGGTAGAGGCACCATTCTCTAAACTAAGTACTGAATTGTATAAGGACTAGCAAAAAAATGAACCAAGCATAGGCATCTACACACTCTCTCTCTCTCTCTCTCTCTCTCTCTCTCTCTCTCTCTCTCTCTCTCTCTCTCTCTGTGTGTGTGTGTGTGTGTGTGTGTCTCTCTCTCTCTGTCTCTCTCTCCTTCCCCCTCTCTCCCTCCCTACCCCTACCCACCTCTCTCTCACTATCACTCTCCCTCCCTCCCTCCCCCCTCTCCCTGTCTCTCTCCCTCCCTACCCCCCTCTCCCTACCCCTTCCTCTCTCCCTCTCTTTCCCTCCCTACCCCTTCCTCTCTCCCTCTCTCTTTCTCCCTCTCTCTCTCCCTCCCTCCCCTGCCCACCTCTCCCTCCTCCCTTCCTTCCTCCCTCTCTTTTTCTCCCTTTCTTCCTGCCTTTGTTTCTCTGCTAAGTGCAGATCTAACTAGCTGCTTCAAGCTCCTGCCTTGACTTCTCCACAATGATGATTGCATCCTGGAATTGTAAGATAAACTGAATCCTTTCTACAAGTTTCTCTTTTATCACAGCAACAGAAATGACACTGGGCCATCCTACAACCCTTTCTAGATCGGCTCAGCTATAATACCAAATACTCAGTGATATATGAAATCAATTGGTTTTGACATGAGCACCCTCCCTGGGTGCTACCATAACCATAGTGTATTATGGTTTTCCGCATCGATAGTGCTGTATCTCACATGCCTATTATGGTACGCCCATGTGAGTATCAAATAGCTCACCTTGGGGCCTAGAGAGCATCTGGTTGCACTTGTTTGGTTCCGGGAACAAGTGGTAGCCGCATCTCCATAAAACATGGAAAGGGGGAGAAATCAGACCCATGCAACACACAGGAGTTCCCTTCCCATCACGACACCATTGCCTTGAACCACAAGAGGGAAGGAACGCCCCTCTGCCTGCCTTCTAGAACCTTTTGCTCGGCTGGGAAGCGGCCTGCCAGAGGCAGGGTGGAAAACTGGGCTTCAAAAACAGGCTGATAGTTGCGCAGGCGCAGCCCCACAGCTTTCAGGCAGCCACTTCCTGCTTCGTTTCCTAGCAACGGGGAAAGCGTTGTTGACAACCAGAGAAACTGCTGCTCAAGCTAGAGAGTGGAGCCGTCCCACAGGCGCTATGGTAAATCTCTCTGGGTCCATGTCTGGAAGGGCAGAGGGGGAGGCACCGGGGGCACAGCTGGCCTGGGAGGGTCTCACTATTTACAGATGTTGGCTGGAAGGGGAGGTATTGAGAAAGGGGAGGTGCTGAGATGAATCTGGGAGTCAGGAAAGTTAGCAAAGGACAATAGAGATGGAGGAGAAAGATCCCAGGCTGGGACCAGGAGAGCAAGAGAATGGGAAGGGAGGGGAGCAAGAGACAAAGAGGGAAGAAGGGAAAACCAGGGAGAGAGGGAGAGAGGGAGGGAGGGAGGGAGGGAGGGAGGGAGGGAGGGAGGGAGGGAGGGAGGAGGAGGGGTGAGGAGGAAAATGAGAAGAGGGGGAGAAGAAGAAGGGGGAGGATAGAAATAAGGAAGACCTCCCCTCTCTTCACCTGCACAGAAAAGGAAGGAGAAGGAAGAGAGAAAAGTAGAGGGAAAGAGGGAAAGAGAGGAGGGAATGGAATGAGAGAGAAAGGAATAAAATGAAAACGGAGAAGGAGAGAAGGGGAAACGAGGAGGGGAGGAAGAAGTAAAGGGAGGGGGAGGAGAAAAGGAAAGGGGAGAGGCTAGGAGAGGAGGGAAGGAGGTGGACTTAGAGCCTTGGGGGTTGCAGCAGGGCCCTCTGGAAGACAGCAGAGGAGTGCCCTGTAGGAGAGGGAGCTTGGGAGGAGCAGCAGAACAGAGAGTGGAGAGGAGAATGAAGGGAGGGGCATCGGTGGTTTGGGGGAACTGCAGACTCTCTCCTGAAAATGGTCAGAGCATAGGCGTCTGGATCTTTCAGGTCAGAAAGACAGAGATCAAGAAATGCCAAGTTTTAGTGATTCACCCCATGAAAAAGTCGCCTTTTCTTTCTGTCTTCTGCCCCCTGTCCCCCCCTCAAGGCTATGTATGGGACAAAACAAGTCCTTGGCACTATCAGTTATTTTTTTTTATATTACTGTCATTGGTAATGTCTCATTTTTCACCTTCAGAGGACACCTCAGTGAAATATAAAAGTTTTCACAGTTGTTTTGGTATGTGACAGGGAGCCAGTTTTTAACCTCTGCAGATGCATTTCTTTAAGCTTTAGGGCATGCTGCAATTTAAAGAACATGCTAATTAAATGTTAATGGTATCCACAGTGGGAAAAGCCACGAATCTAGCATGGCATTTCTCAATTCAGAAAGCACCTGCTCTGGTGATGGGAAAGACATGTAAGCACTTGCTCACATCTCTGTCGGGTGCAGAAGAAAAGCCGGTCTCTGACTGAATAACCTAACGTCCACTCGGGAGATACTGGGAAAGAAAGCAATAGAAGAAATTCCCGTCAAATGACCGCTAGGTCAAGCAAGCATGGTAACGCCCGTCTGCAATCCCAGTACTCAGGAGGCTGAGGCAGGAGGATTGCTGTAAGTTCAAGACCAGCCTGAGCTACACAGTATGAAACGCTGTCTCAGAGAAAAACCTCAAAAAATAATTTTATATGAGGCTAGAGAGAAGAGAGCACCAGATACTCTTGCAGAGGACCCAGGTTCAATCCCCAGCACAGCATGGTAGCTCACAACTGTCTGTAACTCTAGGTCTAGGTAACCTGATGCCCTCTTTCTGGCCTCCAGTGGCTCCAGGCATATACATGGTGCACAGGCATGCACTCAGACAACACCTATATTCATAACATAATAAGATACATTTTTAAAGGAAAGGTAAGGATTCTCAATGCGCTGTTGGAAAAAGAGGCATCATAGGGAACACAGTGGTTTATGCACAGTCAGCTCACAAAAGTGAACATGAAACCCAGCCATGGGGTTCCAAACAGTCATTCCCAGCTGAACATCCAGCTTAAACCAAGACACAGGCCACCGTAATCAGGAGACCCTAGCATCCTGCAATATGCTGCTTGCATAGAATGCCCTTTGTAAACTTAATCACCGAAATGAATCCCCAGAGGAAAGTGACAGATGAAAGTAAGGTGTCCCACTAAGGGCAGCTTTTTTACACTCAGAGGATAGAGTCTTCATTTAAAAATATTTAAGAACTATGACACACAAAAGAAGTTTTTGTAAGTACAGAAATGGGAGCTACTTAAAGGTGACCTATGGCAGCTTTCTGGGCAACATAAACACAAACCAACCAAACAAGCTCTACTTTTATAGCAAATGAGGACACATGTAAGCCCTTGTGAGGATCTCTGTCTCCACTGTGGCTGAAGCCTGGAAATCTTTCTAAGTGGAGGCTTCATACACAGTTCCCATATGATATGTAACAGTTCCAAGCTTACCTCTTAAACAGCTGAGTATATGGCACCCAGCCGTCAGTTAAAGAAATAGGGGGCCAGGCGACTTCATAACTGTTGGTATCATCACAGAGACCCGTCTGGCTAATGGTGGCCCTGATCTCTTGCAGACAGAGGTTGAGGAAACCCTCAAGAGGATCCAGAGTCACAAAGGGGTCATTGGAACAATGGTGGTCAATGCAGAAGGTAATGCCTTGCCACAGACTGACTGAGTCCGACACCCAGACACTAACTGGGGGCCCATCTGTTGCATCAAGAATGAAGACTCTCGCCTTAGGTTATGAACTTAAAAGCATTTTTGTCTGTTCCCTCCCTAGCAGTTATTCATCAGACACCTATTGGATACCTACTGTATATCAATCACTCATCTAAGAGACACTGTCTAAAATGCCTATGTATCCATAAGAAACCCTACATGGTGTCTTCTTCAGAAACTCTGGTAATTCCCATCTCTTCAGGAGGGCCAGCAAAGCTCTCTTGCCAAAGAAAGCGAAAATTATGTGATGGCAGTTTGGTTTTGGCTTAAAGGTGACAGTATAGAGCTTCAGTCTTTATTTAAAATAGAAATTGTTTTCTTTTATCGTATTAGGTAAAAATAATGTTTATAGTTCATTTGTACTCATTTTAATAATGATTTTAATTTATTGCTTGAAATTTTTATGCAGGTATCTTCCCCATGTGTATATAATGTATCTCAGTCATCTCTCTTCCCCACTGCCCCTTCTAAGTCTCCCCAGAACCCTCCAACAGAAGAATTCGTTTCATAGCATTTCTGGAGTAGTCTTGTAAATGACAGGTAGGGAGGAATAATGTATTGCCAACTATGAAATGCGGATACTCGACTGGGAGTCACTGTCTCTGAACCACCCACATCAAGAATCTGTATAGTGAGCCTGCAAGATGGCTCAGTGGGCAAAGGTGTTTGAGGACAAGCCTGAAGCCCCGAGTTCTATCCCCAGCACCCACATGGTGGGCAGAGATGACTGACTCTAACAACCTGTCCTCTGACTTCTGCATATGCACGTGTGCAGGTGTACACACACAAGTTCCCCCACCCAAAATAACAAGACTCTGCATAGCATGTTCCCTGGCTCATCGCTCCATGTTCTGCATCTTAAAAGTCCCTGCTTGTCCCACTGCTCACTTGGGTATTTGTAAGAGTGACAGGTGCCAACACTTCTAGAGAATTCATTGAAATAAGAGTAGCCACCTCTAATAATTCATGGTGGGTACAACCATAGAATCGGCTGATCCCCAGCTCAGCGTTCTGGTGAAATCCATCAGTAAATGCTTATTGTGCAACCACAAGCCAAAAGGCTGTTGAAATTCTGCACTCTGTTTCCTTGTCAGTAAGGATGGAAAATACCCTGAGTTCCTGCTGGTTGTGGCAGTTAGATGAGAAGACCGTCAAGTGCCCAGCTTAATCACCAGCAGTTAATAGAATTCTAATTAAAGAATTTCTGAGAACTTTGATTTATTTGATTGAAATTTGCAGACAAAACGTTTGGTTTGTTTTTATAAAATAAAAAGAATAATTCTGCCAAAGGCATGTGGTGATGGGTATTAGGATAAATTCATTGAGCTTGAGGAATGAGGAAGAAGGAATTAGGATTGTCTGTACAAGAAGTCAAAAGCTGAATCATGTATTTCCAGGAAGTGGTCAGCTCTCAGTGCAGCCCTGGTTAAACCATTCTGCTTCCAGATGTCTGCTACAGGATCTCCCATCCTAACTTACATGGGCTACCTGTGTGATTTAGCAGAGGTGCCTTGTAAGTTTGCTTTGGCTATGACAACAAATCCCCCCCCACACACACACAGCAAAAATGTATTATGTCTCTACCTGGAAGGTTGAAATTGAAGCTAGCATGTCACTGGGTCATGGTCTTTCTGAGGACTCTGACTGAAGGCTTCCTGACCTCTAGTAGATTCCAGTTGTAGTCAACCATCAGTGTTGCTCACTTACCAACGTTACCCTAGTTTATAACTATGAGGGTCCACCCTAGCTCCATATGGCTTTGTTTTAACTGATTGCTTCCACAGAGAGCCTCTTTCCAAAAAAGGATCTCTTCTGAAGTTAAGGGTGGACTTAAGTTTGGGAGAACACTCCAACCCAGTATAGGCACGGTTTCCTGCAGCCCCCAGGCCAATGCCTCTAATGTGTTTCACTGGAATGCCTTAATCTAAAGCACCCAGTCCTGGTGAGGTTAATCAGACATCTGAAGAATACCACACCAAAGAGTGATGGAGAAAAGATTTGGATCCTAGAACAAAGGCAGGGAATGAAGCAACAGGAAGCATTTTTGAATCGCTTATACAGCCAGTTGAATACATATACGCCAAGTAAACATGGGGGGCTGGGGATGTGGCTCAGTTGGTAGAGTGCCAGCCTAACATGCACAAAGCCTTGAGTTCTGTTGAATACATAGGGCTTGGTGGTGCAGGTCTACAATCCCAGAACTGGGCCAGTGAAGCAGCAGTTCAAAGTCACCCTCATCTACATGGAGAGTTTGAGGCCAGCCTAAGTTGCATGATGCTCCATCTCAAAAATAAACAAATAAATAATACATACATAGACAAACATAAAAAGAGAGAGGAAGGATAAGTTCAGATGTCAGAGTGATTCTCCCCAAGCAGTGAAATTAAAAG